GCTATAAAAAATAATAACAAAATTCATCTAGAAAAACAAAAGGTCCAGAATATCAAGGGAACTAATGAAAAGAAATGCTAGGGAAGGTGGCCTAGCCATACCAGATCTAAAACAATATTATAAAGCAGCAATCATCAAAACTATTTGGTACTGGCTAAGAAATAAAGTGGTGGATCAGTGGAATAGGTTAGGTACAAAAGACACACCAGTAAATGACTATAGTAATCTACTGTTTGATAAACCCAAAGACCCCAGCTTCTGGGATAAGAACTCACTATTTGACAAAAACTACTGGGAAAACTGGAAAATAGTATGGCAGAAAGTAGGCACAGAGCAACATCTCACACCCTATAGACCAAGATAAGGTTGAGATGGGTACATGATTTAGACATAAAGTGTGATAACCATAAGCAAATTGGGAGAGCAAGGAATAGCTTACCTCTCAGACCTATGGAGAAGGGAAGAATTTATGATCAAACAAGAGATAGAGAATATTATGCAGTGCGAAATGGATGACTCTGATCACATTAAATCAAAAAGGTTTTGCACAAACAAATGCAATGCAACCAAGATTCGGAAGGAAGCAGAAAGCTGGGAAACAGTTTTTACAGCCAGTGTCTCTGAGAAAGGCCTCATTTCTCAAATCTAAAGAGAACTGAATCAAATTTATAAGAATACAAGTCATTCCCCAATTGATAAACGGTCAAAGAATATGAACAGACAGTTCTCAGATGAAGAAATTAAAGCCAACTATAGTCATATGAAAAAATGCTCTAAATCATTATTGATTAGAGAAATGCAAATTAAAATAATTCTGCGGTACCACCTCACACCCATCAGATTGGCTAAATGACAGAAAAGGAAAATGATAAATGTTGGAGAAGATGTGGAAAAACTGAACACTGGCGCACTGCTGGTGGAGTAATGCACTGGTCCAACCGTTCTGGAGAGCAATTTGGAACTATGCCCAAAGGGCTATCAAACTGTGCACATTCTTTGACCCAGCAATAGCACTACTAGGGCTGTATCCCAAAGAGATCAAAGAAAGAGGAAAAGTGCCCATGTGTACAAAAATACAGAGCAGCTCTTTCTGTGATGGAAAAGAATTAGAAATCAAGAGGACACCCACCAGTCGGGGAACTGCTGGACAAGAAGCGGTACATGAATGTGATGGAATACCATTGGGCTGTAAGAAACGATGAGCAGGATCTCCTCCCTCGGGCCGGGCTCTCACCTCACGCAGCAGGCGGATCTCCAGCAGCTCCTGGTATGCTCTCTCCGACTCCTCACACCGGTCATGCTTCTGTAGGTCCAAGGCTTTGTGATACAGGGAGAAAGCTGCTGCTTCCTGGCAGGCCACACGATGAGAGAATGCAATCAGCAGGAGCGCCACAGTCTGAGGCCCGGAAGAAGCAGGAGAGCCAGACGCCACCCACTTACCTGTGCCTCCTTGGTCTGTGTTTTGTGGCTTTTGAATGTCCCTTCGTGGTCATCCTCCACAGTGGAGCTGGCATTCAAGGCTGCAATGCGGATCTAGAGAGCCATGGCACAGAGACAGAAGCTCATGCACAGGGCTGTTTTTGTACCTTCCCTCAGACACCAGTCAGGCCAGAGTGCCCTGAACCCCTGCTGGACAAAAGCCAACACGAGACGAGCAGGTGCCCCAAACTACTGATCAGGTGACGGCTGGCGCACCGAACGCTGACCTGGTCTGGGCACTGCAGGGAGACCTCATGACACGGTGACAGGGGGAGGTGTGGGCTCCAGGGCCACCCCCTCAAGGCGACACCAACATCAAACCCACGGCAAACACACAGCTTTTGCGAGGACTCCGGCAAGCCTGGGCCAGGGCCCCAAAGCCAGGAGAGGCCTGCCCGTCCGAGGCCTGCCCGTCCAAGGCCGGCCAACATGGAGGCCAGCAGAAGGACCTGTCTGGACTTCAGGAGTCCAGGCATGCCATTATCATCGAGGGCATGTCCCACATCCCATCTGCACCTGGACTGAAGGTCTGGAGTCAGGAAGACCTGGGTCCAAATCCCACCTCAGACACTTCCGAGGTGGGCAAGTCACCTAACCTTTGTTCACCACATTTTCCTCATCTGTAAAATGAGGATAGTAATGGCACCTCCCTCCCTCCCGGGGCTGTTGTGAGGATCACATGAGGTCATCCTCACAAAGTGCTCAGCACCAGGCCTGGTATACAGCAGGGGCCCCACAAATGCTTATTCCCTCCCACTTTCCCCATGAGCTGCTGCAGGCTCAGTAGGGACAGCTGTCTCCTCAGAGCCCTGCCCGAGCCACTAGGCACTCACCATCTTCACAGAGGGGCAGAGGCACTGTTCCTATGGACCATCCCCTGAGCCAGCAGAAGGTCACATCTGAGAGCAAACCAAAGAGACCTGGGAATGGCCGGGACTCCTCTCAGGGCCCTGCCCGTCGTCCCTGGCCATCCGGCCAGGCCCTCCCTGATGGCGAGCTGGGGCCTCTGGGGACAGGCTGCAAGAATGGCGAGCCACTGCATCCCACGCTGGGGCAGCCCTCCCTGGGAGGAAGCTCTTCTCCAACTTCAGCCCCAGGTGGCTCTGGCAGGCTCCCCTTCCGGGTCCCTGACCGTGGCTATCATGTCCCTCCCAGTCCCTGCCCCCCAAAGTCCTTTCTCTTCAGGCTGAACACCCCTAGACCTTCCAACCACTGCTAGAAAGCCCCAACACACCACCCTGTGAAGCAAATACACAATCTCTCCCTCCGTCCCGCGTCACCAGGGTGGCACCTTAGCCCTCATTTGTAAGGCAACCAGTCTCAGAGTCTGGGAAATCTGCCCCCACGCCTCCCCTGTCGGCCTCAGTTTCCTCAACCATAAAATGGGAGCTCCTAACTGCCCTCCCCACCCCTGCCTCCAAGGTGATGATGAGGCCCAGATGAGATCCTGTTTGTAGGTGCATGAGAAATGCCCGCCACCATCTTCTTCTCTCCCTGCCAGGCTGCGGCCCTCTAAACACATACAAACACACACACGCACGCATACACACACACAAACACCCAGGGGTGGTGGTGCCAGTATCCATACGCAGACACACACACTCATATACGTGCACATACACACACACACACACATCCAGGGGTGGTGGTGGTGCCCACACAAACACACACTCACATACATACACACATACACACACACACGGGGGGGTGCCCATACACAGACACATACACACACTCACATACATGCACGCGCACACACATACACACACTCCCTCACATACACATACACACACAAACTCCCATACATACATACATACACACACAGGGGGTGACCACACACACACATACACACACAAATACACACTCACATACATACACACTCACACACACACCCAGGGGGGTGCCCATACACAGACACATACACACACTCACATACATGCACACAGATACACACACTCACATACACACACACACACATACACACACGGGGTGGTGGTGACCACACACACACACACAAACACACTCACATACATGCACACAGATACACACACACACACAAACACACACTCACATACATACACACACACACGGGGGGGTGCCCATACACAGACACATACACCCCCTCACATATACATACAAACTCACATACATACATATACACATTCACATACACACACACGGGGTGGTGGTGGTGACCACACACACATACATACATACACACTCACATACATACACACTCACACTCAGGGGGGTGCCCATACACCACATATACACACACGGGGTGGTGGTGACCACACACTCACATACATACACACACACAAACTCACACATACATACAGACACTCACATACACACACATGGGGTGGTGACCACACATACACATAAACACACACTCACATACACACACACTCACATATACACACAGTCACACACACACACCCAGGGGCGGTGGGGGTGAGGCCCGAGGGCCAAGGGGGTGGTGAGCGGCTTGAGGCCGCAGGGGCTGGGGAGTTCACATGACGTGGAGCCTCCACCCCACAGCCCCCACCCCGGGGCCCAAAGGGCCGACAGCGGAGGACTGCAAACCGAGGTGGGCCGGGGAGCAGGGTGGCGGCCTCCAGGGAGCCCTGCGGCCACCGGCCAGCCTGGCCTCAGGAAGCGCCCCCTGAGGGGCCCCGGGAGGGTCCTGAGGTGCCCCCCACGGCGTGGAGGGGACGGAGGGGGCCTGCAGACACACGGCCAGGGCAGGAGGGGCCACAGCTGTTGGGGGAGCCGGGAAATGGTGGACAGAATTCATCGTTTTTAAAGGTGGGCGCGTGTGCACCGGCCGCCAGCTCTGCCCCTGCGGACTGCGGCTCTCCGGCCTCCGCGCCTTTGCTCACGCTGCCTCTTCTCCTGGGGCCGGCCTCCCAGCCCCTCCCTTCCCGACCTCTTGAGCCCCTCTGAAAAGAAGGGGGTGCGGGGCTTGGGGGGGGACGGCCGACGGACTGGTCACGGGGCCTCACCCCCTGCCCCCTGGGGTCTCTGTCTTCTCCTTTCCCTGGACCCCAAATGTCCTCCCTGTGCTGAGATCCTGACTGCTGGCGCCCACTTTACTAAAGTACTGACATGGGGGAAACTGAGGCACGGCGGGACAGGCCGCAGGGGCTGCAGCACCTGGGGCCCTCTTGTGACACAGGGGGAAACTGAGGCACGGCAGGAATGGACTGCAAAGCCCAGGACCCTCTTGTGACACGGGGGAGGGGAGGACCGCGGCCCCGGTACCCCGTAACCCCGACCAGCTCCACTCCCACCTCACCCACCTAGGCGTCCTGACAACTGTTTCGGTTGCTCCCGGCTCAGTGAGACCTCGCGCGGGCGCAGAAGGGAGAGCAAAAGCCGGCGCGGGAGCTGGCCAACAACGGGCACGCCGATTGGCTGCTGCTGCAGATGACTTAGGCCAATCGGAGGGAAAAGGGCGGTACCATAGGTGACGTCATAGCTCTAACCGGGGAAGGAGGGGCCGTTCAGACTTTGTTTTCCGGGCTGCTGAGCCAGGTCAGAGGGCGGGTCCACGGCCGGAAGTGAGCGTCCCCTCGCAGGAAGGAGGCGTGAAAAAGAGAGGAACTGACCTCACAGCGGGGGTAGGCGGGGAAGGAGCCCTCCCCCCATCACCCAAAGCTAGGCCCCTCTTCTGACTTAAAGTCGCGCTCGCGGTGGGAGGGAGGGGCCATTCGTTCTCCGCTGGGGGAGGGGAGCAGGAAGCAGGAGGGGTCATGACAGGAAGTGACCTCAGGGGGCGGGCACAGGCCTGACTGTGGGCGCGACTCTGGCCATCCCTTCCCTACCTCTGTGTGATGCCCCTGGTCTGGGGCGGCCTACCGTGTACCTGTGGCGCCGTGGGGCACCAGGAGCCGCTGGACTAGCCCCAGGGCTGGCCGCCCCCGGGGAGGCTCGGGCCGGGCCCCTCTCTGGAGACTCCCCAGGGCCTGGGCCTGCCAGCGCTAGCATTGATTAGGCGCCTATTGTGGACCTGCCGTCAGGGAGGGAGGACTTGCCTAGGTTACTCCCCAGAGAGGGGTAGGGGAAAGGGAGGGCCACCTCTGCTACGTGGGTCAGGCGCCCAGAGAGACCGGGGACGCTCAGAGAGGCGGGGGGGGCTCCCAGAGAGGAAACAAGTGAAGAACTCAAGGGCCTCGCCCAGGGTCACACCGCTAGGAAGCGTCCGAGGCCTCGGTTCTGTGCACTGCCGCCCTCAACGGCTTGCCCGGCTCGGACCGCAGGCTGGCCTTCTATGCGCGCCTCCCACAGACTGGCATCGGCTTCCTCGGCCCACTCGCGGTCTGGCGGGCCTTTGGGGCAGAGCCACTGACTCGGATAGCGGCCGAGGGCAGAGCCGGCCGCGGGGGCGCCGCCTTCCCTTCTCCACTCTGCTTTTCCCGACTTTTGTACTGAATTCATTTCTCGTCTGTTGAGGCGTGTGGCGAAGATGTTGTCAACCTAATTTCTGCCAGTTTTTCTCCAGTATCAAATGAAGCTGCTCAAATCATGTCCCACCATTTCTCCCTTGGCCTCTTTGGAAGTGCGTCCTGGGGACTGACGCCCCTTTGTTCTGTTTAGGTCATTCTGCTCTATGACCCCAGACTGTGGCGTTTCTTCAGTGCCTGCTTTTCTCCTCTAGTGAGTACAATAAGAGGAGGGGGCCAGGGTGCAGCAGCACGCCCCTGCCTGCGGCGTCTGTTTTCAATCCCCATCCTGAATGCCTTCCATGGGCCATCGGGAGGCCCCGCCCACCATGCCTCTTCTATGATGGGGATCACTTTGAGGGTGCCACAGCCCACACCCGCACCAGCCAGGAGCCGGCCCTCCGGCTTTTTCAGAGATGCCGCTGTCTAGGCCTAGGCCAGTGTCCCCCACCTCATTCCCGTGAAGGTGATCTTTCCTTTACACTCAAGCACGAGAAAGTCTTCCCATCATCCCTACTTCATTCCGTCTTTTTCTGCTGACCCCTCTGCTCTGGCCTGTCATCATGTTTTCTGGTTTTGACTTAGGTCACTTTGGGCCCCTCAAGGAAGAGGGAGTCAGCTGGAGATGCTGGAGTTTGGAGAGATGAAGGCTGGACCGATGGACTAGGGGGTCGTTTGCACAGAGGACTGCAGCTGGGAGAATGTCAGGGGGGTAGAAAGGAGGGGAGGGATCCAGCCTGAGCCAATGGGGGAGGGGTGGGACCAGCCACAAGGAGGAGAGACTGAAAGGGGAGGATGATAGAAGACAGCAGCATCTGGCCAGCTTTGGGAGGAGAGGCTGCCAGGTCAAGGAGGATGAGGATGGAGAAAAGGCTATGAGATCGTGACAATGAGATGGACACAGGAAACCTTGGGGGACAGTTTCATGATAAAGGAGGAAACTGAGGCAGTCCAGGGACCGGTCACACCAACAGTAAACTGCTTTGCCAGACTTTGGCCCCAAGACCCTCAGGCCCCATCTGAGATACTGTCCCAGCGCACAGCACAACCCAGCTGCATCATCCCCGTCACAGGAGCTGTCTGGGCTCTACCAGGGCCTCATGAGGACTGTAGACCAGCTAAGCAGGCCAGCTCCAGGGGTGGGCCCAGACTCCAGCTGAATCAACATTACCTTGGAGACCCACTCCTGGCCTTCCTACATTCACCAGCCCTGGCTGCCCTCTCACATCATGACTCAGGCTGAGCAGCCGGGGCTTTGGACAGAGTGGAGATGTCCACTGTCCCTCCCAGAGGGAAGACAGGAGTCAGTCCATCTGAACCCTCTGCACCTAGCCGCTTTCCAAGGTGGTCGCAGCCCCGAGGATGGCCATTTCCTCGGGATCCAAAGGCCTGGGGGTGAGCTCTGCTGGTGACCTGCCCTTGCCATAGATGGGACCTTGTGAATGCCTCCAGCCAACCCCGACCCCATCAGCCTCCCCCTCTGGGCTTGGGAAAAATGAGTCAATGCTCAGCCAAACATGGGGCTCCATTTTATTCTGTGCGCCCTAAAGAGATCCTTGGTTCGTGTGGGGGCAGAGACCCCACTGGTCCATCAGCACCATCTCTGGGCTGCTCACAGAAATGTCATCACTGTGCCCTTTTTGCCAATTTGCCAAGGCTCCAGGGGGTAGAACCGAATGTTAATCCTGCAGGAAGGAAGAGGATGGGCCAGCTGTCTCCAGTCACTGTCGGTCTCACCCTCCAGCACCTGTCACACAGAGCCCTCCATCCCTGCTCCCACAGCCTCCCAAGCTGCTCTTCGGACCCTGTGCATGCAGCACTCAGGAAGGCAGGGGAGAGGGAGAGGGGCCAGGTCAGGCCTCTGCCTGCTAGCTAGGTTAGCCCCTGACCACTGCACAACCTTCTCCCTCCTCCTGGGTCTGTAGATCAGACAAGAAGAGAGCCCAGGGATTCTCCCTGGGCCCGGAATCAAGCAGCAATGTCTGCTGCCCTCTGCCAGCCATCTGTCTGTCCATTGGTGGGGAGGGGACAGCAGGAAATGGCCTTCACACCTCAGGAAAGCTTTGCCCTGTCAGAAAACCATGGTTTGCCCCTTCATTCTACACAGGGAGAAAGTGAGCCCCAGACAGATTCAGTGATTTGTCATGGGCAGAGGCAGTCAGAGACTGAGCTAGGATTAGAACTCAGGTCTCAGCTCCCAGTCTGGCCTCCTGGCTGGAGCTTCTCATTCAGCTACACTCCCATACACTGAAGCAGAGAAACCTGTAACTATGGAAATAGAAAGGGGCCTGGACCTCAATCCTGTCATCATTACCCCCAAACACCCCTGACCGGACCAGCCCAGGTCACTGTGGCTCACCACCACCTCCCCCAACAGGGAGGGGGCGCCACTGTGCACAGAGCAAAAGGCCTGGAGTCAGCGAGCCCTGAATTAAATCCTGCCTCAGACACTTCCTGAGTACAATCCTAGGCAAGCCACTTAGCCTCTGTTTGCCTCAGTTTCCTCATTTGTAAATGGGGCAACAATAGAGGCACCTACTGTTGTGAGACCCACATAAGATAGTATTTATAAAGTGCTCACACATCTTCACATGCTAGCATTATTGTTATCCTCATCATTTCCAGTCGGCAGGATTTCTCTGGGGGCACCAACTGAGCTGGTTCAGTGGGCCCTGCCAAAGGAGCTCAGCCCTGGGGCCCTGGGCTGGGGCACAGGAGAAAAGGTCACAAAGTGGCCTGGGGGAGGGGACTTAGGGCTGCTTTTTGGGGGTTTGAGGGTTTTTTTTTTTTGCTGGGCTTAGGCAGTGGGGTTAAGTGACTTGCCCAAGGTCACACAGCTAGTAAGTGTTATGTGTCTGAGGCCGGATTTTAACTCAGGTCCTCCTGAATCCAGGGCCGGTGCTCTATCCACTGTGCCACCTAGCTGCCCCTTGGTTGTTTGTTTGGGTTTTTTTAGGGCTGCTTTTTGGAGCCTATGCATACAGCACCCAGGTAGGCAGGAGGGAGAAGGGCCAGGTCAGCAAACACAGAAGTAAGCCCAGAAAAGGAGGCCAGAGTCCAGGCTAGAGACTCTAGAACCTGGAATGACAGGCTAAGATGTGGGACTGGCCTGGACATTTCTTTCATAATACCCCAGAAAGTTAAGTAGGAAGGATCTTTGGACTCCAAGCATCCAAGAGTCAGAAGGTCCTAGCTCTAGAGCTAAGTGGCCAATTAGTTCAATTGCCTCATTTCACAGATAAGGAAACTGAGGCCCAGAATCAATAAGTGACTTGCCAAGGTCACACAAGAGAGTAAGTGTCCTGACTTGGGACTCCAATCCAGGCATTTGGGGATCCCCCTAAAATCTTCCCCCATTCCCAGGGCTGGGACCTACCGGTCCTGACTCAGGCTCAGTTCCTTGGTGAGGAACTCAAAGAACTTGGCGCTGTGGTCCCGGTTCTCCTCCGCTGTGCCAACCACGCCAATGGAGGAGACTATGAGCTGGGCACAGGGGTCCCCTGAACCACCCAGTATCATGGTGAGGTCTGGCCTCACAATCACATTCACTTTCTGCAGAGAAAAGGAGGAAGAAGGTCACCAGAGACTAGGCAGTAGAGGGTAGTTGGGAGGCCCAGGCAGAAACGGGAGCCAGGGCCGGGACTTGGGGAAAGGCAGGAGAAAGACAGGAGGGAGGCCAAGCTGAGGCTGACAGAAGCTGCAGGAGCCCAGGGTGGTAGAGGCCAGGAAAGAGACAAGAGGGAGTCCTGGGCCATGGAGCAAGGACCAGAGGCAGGGGCCAAGGACAGACACTGAGGCCAATAAAGCCTCCAGGGAAGGAATCTTGGGCCATGAATGCCAGGAGCCAGGTCTGTGGGCAGTAGGGGCCCAGGAGGAGAGAGAGGCCAGAAGGTGAAAGGCCAGGCAAGGAAGGCAGTACGGAGGCCAGGGTCAAGCACACCAGGGACTGGGCCAGGATGGAGGTTACGGGGTACGGAGGCAGGCGCTACTCTGGGGGCTGGGGCTCTGGGGGCCTGGGGCCAGTAGGGGGGGAGGGAGGGGGTGCCGGATCAAGGTGGTCAGGGGCCAGTCTGGAGGCCCGATCAAGGCAGCCAGGGGCGCCCGGGGAGCACTCACGTCCTGGGGCTTGCCCAGCACGGCCGCGGTCGCAGCGCACAGGCGCTGGCTCAGGCCGCTGGGTAGCCGGGCGGCGGGCAGGCTGGTGTCCAGCTCCACGTAGGGCATGGCGGCCGGATGGGCTGGGACTGCGCGGCGGGAGCTCCGGGAGCGCCCTTCCCAGGGCGGCTGGTAAAGGACTCCGCGGAAGGAGTGTCTGGCGGAGGGACTGACGCTTGGTCCCCAGGGGCGGCGGGAGGGGACGGGGGTGGAGCCCACTCGGTGAGGGGCCCCAAGGGCAGGACTCAGCGGACTGCGAACGCTAGCTCTGGGGCGGGCTGGAGGAGCAGAGCAAGGCCGGTGGGTCTTGAACCCCTGGAGCTGAAGAGGTCTGGGTCCAGGAGTGAGTCCGGCACGGGGCGGGCCAAGGCTCCGATTGGCTGGTCGGGGACGCGGACGCCTCCGATTGGGCGGAGCGGCCACGCCCCCTCCTACCCGGTAGTACACCGGGTGTCTGAGAAACGCTGGGGGCTGGGGAGGGAGAGGGGATGGCCGGGTGGGATTTTGCTACTTCCCCCCCAGGGCTGCGGCCGACGATCCGGTGATCCGCTCTGCCTTTCTGTGCCGTGTGTGTCCTTGGTGCCAATGGCCTGGGCTCAGTATACCCCTGGCTCCCTAAGGGTCAGGGCCTGTAGGAAACTGCTATGTCCTGATGGGCATCCTCCCAACCCTTCTTCCTCCCTCTCCCATTTCCTACCTCCTGCAGTAGCTCCCTGTTTCTCTCTCTCTTTCTCTCTCTCTCTCTCTCTCTCTCTCTCTCTCTCTCTCTCTCTCTCTCTCTCTCTCTCTCTCTGCTGTCTCTGTCTGTCTCTTTCTATCTCTGTCTCTTCTCTCTCTCCCTTTCTCTGTCTCTCTCTGTCTCCTTCTCTCTGTGTCTCTCTCTGTCTCCCTCTCCCTGTCTCTCTTGCTCCTGTCAGTCTGTCTCTCTCCTCTCTGTCTATGTCTGTCTCTGTTTTATCTGTCTATGTCTATCCCACATTCTCTTTAGTCTCTGATCCCGGCCCCTGGTGCTGTCACAGGTCATAATTTCTCCAGGGCTTCTTTTCCCAACACCTCCAGCCACCTGGGGGCTCTCTGGCTTGTGGATTGCTTGCATTTGGACCCTGGGAAGAAGTCCATCTGTCAGTAGGTGTTTATTAAACACTTAACTAAGTGCCAGAGATGCCAAGAAAGACCAAAGATAGGCCCTGCCCTCAGGAAGCTCCCAGTCTAACCCCAGAGACCACAGATAAAGAGAAACTTGAAACAGAGGGAGAGAGTGCTCATGGAGGGGCCAGTGCAGGTGGGTGGGAGGTGCTGAGGGCCCCCTCCTGAAATGGTATATGTACTCCCTGAGCTCCCCTCTTTGCTAGCCCAGCCAGCTGGGCAGAATGGGGGGCACCCAGGCCCCTGGGGAAGCTGGTACTGGAGACAATAGGGGACCCACTTTACTCCAGCTGCTCACATTCACCATTTCCCTAAGAGTGCCATCCCCCTCTGTATGAAGGCTCTCTTTGTCTTTTTTTTTTTTTTAGGCAATTGGGGTTAAGTGACTTGCCCAGCGTCACACAGCTAGTAAGTGTCAAGTGTTTGGTCTGAGGTCAGATTTGAACTCAGGTCCTCCTGACTTCAGGGCCAGTGCTCTATCCACTGCGCCACCTAGCTGCCCCAAGAAGGCTCTTTTTGGTTGTAAGACCTTGTAACCCACCAGAAGCTGCTGAGGACTCAGTGCATAGAGCCCTGGGGCCAGTCTCAGGAAGCCCAGAGTTCAAATTCAGCTTTGGGTGTTTCCTAGGGCAAGCCACTTCATCTGTTTGTCTCAGTTTCCCCAACTGAAAAATAGCGATCATAATATCCCCTACCTCCCCAGGCAGTTGCCAGGGTCAAATGAGCTAATATGTGTTAGCACAGTGCCTGAGGGCATACAGCAGGCACTAGATAAATGCTTACTCCTTCTCATTTAACAACCAATTGGGCCCGTGGGAGAGGCCTGACTAGATGCCAGCACATCTGAAGGCTGTCTGGGGGTGAACCCAGGACTCTCTTGTGAACTGTGGAGACCCAAAAAGTGGGGCTGGCCTCGGGGGTGGAAGAATCTGGGCACAGTTAGCCTGGTGCATAGTAGGCAACTTAATGCCTAGGGCAGCAAGCTGGTGAAGTGAATAGAGCACTGGGCTTGGAATTGGGAAGGCTCATCTTCCTGAGACACTTCCTAGCTGTAGGACCCTGGACAAGTCACTTCACCCTGTTTACCTAAGTTTCCTCATCTGCAAAATGAGATGGAGAAGGAAATGCCAAACCACTGCAGTATCTGTGCCAAGAAAACCCCAGATGGGGTCAGGGAGAGGAGGAGGGAGCTAAAACACAAATAAATGTTTGCCAAATTCATGCTCTGAATTGAACTGGAGGAGCAATGTGCTGATGGACCCTATGACTGGGAGGAGGGGAGGTTGGACTTGTCCCACCCAATGAGTGGAGGCAGGAAGCGGCCTAAGGGTCGGGGATGGAGAAGAGCTGGCCTCCAAGTCACCAAGACCTGGATTCCAGCCTGCCTCCAGACCCCCTGTTTATGCGACACCTCTAAGGCTCCAGGCCTTGTGGCCTAGCAAACAGGTATGAAGCACCTACTATGTTCCCAGCACTTTGTACTTTACGATTATCATCTTATTTGATCCCCACAACTGAGGCAGACAAGGGCCACACAGCTAGGAAGTGTCAGAGGCAAAATTTGAACTCAGGTCTTCCTACTTCCTGGGGTGCTGTGCTATGTGCACTATGGCAGCTCCTAGCTGCCTCTATATCTATAAACATTCTCCCTATACTCTATGTTTTTGCCTTTATTTCCTCAGCACTTAGCAGAGTACCTGACACATGATTAGCATTTAATGTTTGTCAGCTGGCTGGTTGACTCCTGTGGAAAGTTGAACAAAAGGATCTCTATAATTCTCTCTAGTTTTAGCTCTGAGCCCCCAGTCAGAAATAGCACTGTGGCACAACTAAATCTCTATTTGTTATCCCCAGGAGCAGAGGGAACCCAAGGGGTGAAAGGAAATGGCTCCCTTGGGGCCCATGGTCTCTGGGTGGGAAGTTCAGCAGCAGAGCATCTGACACTCCATGTGCCTGATCAGCCCCTTCCTCTCTTGGTCCTGATCCCAGTCCTTATGGCAGCTGCCTGTTGCTGCTCTCCCACCCCCAACCCCCCAGCTTTCTTGAGGCCTCTCTGCTCCGGGTGCTGGGTATAGCATCGGAAAATTAGTCCTTCCCCAGTCTTGCCTCTGCCTGAATTCAAACTATCATTGTCTTCAAAGGACCACCAAGGCCCAGCAGTGAATCATTGGGTGCCCCCCCAACTCAGTAGGACAGAGGGGTTCATACTTCATAAAAGGAGAAAAGAATTCACACATTAACCCTTCCCATCTGGGATTCCATGATGCTTTGGAGACATCCACATAGCTGGGAGCTGGAGGACAGTGGAAGGAAGAGTGGAGTGGACATCAAATCCTCTCTCCCTTCCATAAAGGTGGCATGGGCCTAGTGTACCCATTCCCCCCCACCCCCACCCCAGCTAGCTGACTCCTCCTGCCACTGGGCTCTGGGGACCTGCTCTTGACCTTGTGTGCTCATCAAAGATGCAAGGCTGAGCGGTCTCAGTGCTCAGAGGTAGGCAGGGGCCAGCTAGTAAGGAGAGGCAAGCTGCCAGCACCTGGCCCTCAGCACTGATCCCTACAGAAAGGCTCTAAAGTGGGCTGTTGAGAGGGAAAGATGTCTTGGTGATAAGAACGGGATCTAGACCCTGAAAAGGAAAAACCCTGGACTTTCCCATGTGGCCAAATCCCTGGCGTTCACCTGAGGCCATAAGCCCATCAACTGGCCTTTCATTGTGGCTTTGCCCAGTCTCCCAGTTCTGTTACCCTTAAACTTCCTTATGTCCCCAGGCCACTTCCCACCCTTAATCCTATCTAGACTCCATTCTCCCTTGCCCACAAGGTCCAGGTCCCTGGTGTTGTTACCTCACAGTCACCCCAGTTTACTGGCCACTCCCATCCAGATCCTCCCTAGACCCATTCTCCCAGTCACCCCAAACTACTTGGCCACTCCTAGATCCCTCCCATAGTCTTTCTGTATATAGGGTCCATGTAGTCTCCATTAAGAGGCTGGGATTCTTATAATCTAGCCACTGCTGAGATTTTTACAATCAGCCCACTAGCTCACAGGTGCTCCGATTCCTTAAGAGTCTGCCCAATATGGCAGATCTTTAATAAACCTTGTCTTTGGCTGAAAGAAGGCTTGGGTCAAATTCTTTCAGGCAGTGTCATGATCTTGGGGTTCCAGCACCCCTCACCTCTAGACCTCATCATTGGCAGAGAGGACAGAGGGAGGTCCATGGGGCCTGGGGGGCTGGGCCTTGAAGGGTAGGTGAGGTTGGGCTCAATGAGAGAAGGGTCAGGTTAGTGAGACAGTATTCAGTAAAGTGGCCACAAATGTGCCCACCTGTAGACAGGCCAGCCAGAAGGTAGAGCTGTCCAGGCATCAAGTGGGCAGAAGACCAGAGGAATGGGCTGTGGGAGAGATTAAGCCAGAGAGCAGGGTGGGGCAGATGGAGTCCTTGAAGGCCAAGATAAGGGGTGAGCCCCAGTCACTGAGATAAGAACCAGAGGGGAGTGAAAGGCAGAAGAAAATCAAATCTCTGAAATTTCACCTGGCTCCACCCATAGGTCCAGTAGATAAGATTCCTAGGCTGGCCAAGTTTTGCCAGGAGGATCGGCCTCCAGGAGGCCCTTCCTGCTCCCCCTTCCCACCCCAAATCACCATATCTCATCCATTTAGCCTCCTCCATGCCACCCTCCCCAAAGAAGGTAATCCTGAAGGCGCTGGTCTGGGGCTCCTGGTAAGGAAACACCGTGTACCACCAGCTCTGCTACTATCATTTATCTGGGGCCACTGAGGACTTCGGCCACTGCCCATGTCACACAGCCCAAATAGGGCCCAGACAGGACTAAAGCCCAGGGTCCTCTCTGCCCACTTCAGCACGCCGCCTCTCACACAGTAGGTGCTTACTAAATGTCCATTGGATTGAATTCAGCTGACTCCTGAGTTGGCCCACTCTCATAGAAGAGTCACCCCAAGGTGTGAATCCTTTGCCAGGGCACTACTTGTGGGAGCAAATCCCTGAAAGCAGCCATGCACTGCCTGGCACATAGTAGGTGGTTCATCAATGCCAGTTTGGAACTGGCCAAACAGGTTGGCATGACTTCATACCAAGCTGGTGCCACCCAGTGCCTAAAAAAGGCGCAGCCGAGGATCAGGGAGGCCTTTGCTGGGCCCACTGATGGGAGCTCTCTTCTGCCAGGCTGGGATGAAGGAGAGTGGGGCCCCTTCAAGGAAGAGGATTCCGGAGGCAAGTCAATAACTCAACTGGGTAGGTAAAGCTGCCCACTGCCACTGCCCTCCCAATCAGAGGTCCACCATGCTGGCCTTCCGGGTGTGGACCTCTTCATCCCTGATGCATATATATTCTCCCCCAGCCTGGCTCCAATCCAGCCTACCACACCCTGGCCTCTTCCAAATTTCCAGGTAAGAACTATCCCTTTAAGGGAGGAAGGTGACCTTGCCTTTCCCCCAGCCTGAATAGAGCCATCCCACCCCCTCACACTAGTCACTGGTAAACTTGGAAGGGGAGCCAGGAGAAGGAGCAGGACTCTGCTTGGAGGGTGGGGTACAGCCCTCAGAAGGGGCCTCAAGGAGAAGCCCACTATAACAACGGCTAGCATGGACAGGTGCTTCCAACGTCCCCATTTTACAGGTAAACTGAGGCTGACAGACATGAAGTGACTTGGCCAAGATCTGAACATCTGAAGCTGAACTTGAACTCAGGTCTTCCTGAGTCCAGGCCCAGCCCTCGGTGCACTGGGGCACCAAGGAATGCATAAGAGCGCTGAGTGTGAGCACATGCTTCCTCAGCTGCTCTCTAGGACTCTAGTCTTCTACCCTGGTGACCAAGGGCTCTCCTGCAGAGCCCAGTATGCAGCTGGCGCTTTATAAATGCGTGCTGATTGCTTCATTGGTCTCTGTCTCAGATGCCCAGCCCTGAGTGGTTCATCTTACAGAGTTGTCTACCCCCCTGGCCTCTGAAAAAAGAACTTGTCAATAGGATGGGAGGATAGGAGCTCGCCTGGGACCTGAGTCCGCCCCTCCCCCCCAACGCGGGGCTTTGGGCTGGTGGAACCCCTGGCTCTGGCCGTCCTTGCTGGGGGTGCTCCACCCCCTTCCCCTGCCACTCAGGCTGGCCTTAGCCCCAGTTCTGTCTGTCCTGTCCGGGCCTCGGGCTGCACCTTGGGGGATCCAGGGATGCTCCCCCACACACACTCGGGCTAGGCTCCCACCTCCCACTGGGCTGGCCCAGGCACCATCTGCCCCTTCTCTGCAGGTGAACAACACACAGGGCTCGGACAGCTCCAGGTCCCTATCCCCAGGCCATGGCGGAGCTGGTCACCAAGCCTCTGGGAAGCCACCTGCTTCACTGTAGAATGTGGAGAATGACGTCCGCATCCCCATTTCTCAGGCCACAGGACCAGAGACATGGATGGAAGCACTCCCTCCTCCTCCTTGGGCAAAGTCAGTCAGCACATCCCTCTGCCGGGGGCAGGCCACCATCCTTCCTCCCCCCACCCCTACTTACTGGGCTGGCCCCCTTTCAACACCCCCCTCCCAGGTAACCCTTTGGCTGCTGCCTTTTCCATGGACCTTAAGTCTCTCAAGGGCAGGGGCTGCCCTTTGTCTGGTCTCTGTTGCCCCAGAATACTTACACTTCGGTCTGCCTACTTATTAATATTCCTGATGGTCAAACGACCAGGTGACTGGCCATCCTGATCCTGCCCCACTGCGTGGTCCCAGGCTAGGGCCCAAGCTGGTTTCCCCAGCTCTAAGTGGCTGGGAGATGGGCCTCCCTGCCTCTTAGGGTGCTAGAGGCCAGCCTCCATTACTAACCCAAGTTTGGCCCCCTCTCTGAGGATCTAAGCGGCAAGCTTCACCGAAAACAGGCCCTTCTCCTGGAAGGACCAGAGGCAGGAACCTGGGCCTCCTCACAGGCCCGAGCTGGGGAGAGGCTGGAGTGGAGGACAGGAGGCCTAGAGGTTTGCAAACTCTCCCTACCCCCTCAGTTGTGCATGACCAGTTAGAAGTTGGGTAAGGGTCCAGAGCAAAGGTTGGCAGGCCCAGTGGCCAGTCTCTAGCCCCAGGCCACCCAGGCCTTCCATGCATGCCTTTACCTTGAGGGACTAAGGGGCAATCTGGGGCTCCTTCCCAGGCAGGCAATGGCAGATGTAGCTCAGATACCCTGGTCCTTGAAGGGGTCACACAATGGCTAAAATGGGCCTCTCAGGGACCAGCCTCTGGTCCAACCTCTCCAGGGGGTCTGGGAGCTGAGCAGAAGGCCACAGCAATGTGCCCACCCCCCAGATCCCAAGGCCAGGACTCCAGGTTCTAACCATCCTGGAGACCACCCACCTTTCTAGGTACATTCCAGCTCATCCCCCTCCTCCAAACCCGGCAAGTCCCCCTGATGAGGTGGGCAGAGGGCCTGCCTCTGGGAAGAGCTAGCCCCTGGCGTTTGGGACTGGGCAGCAGCAGCCTTGGGAGGGGCTGAGCCTTCTGGCAGCAGTCTGGCCATGCTGCCGCCTCTGAGCACAGCTGGGGGGAAATGGAGGTACCCCCCTGCCCCCCTCAGACCCCAGCAGCATGGCTGCAGGCAAGGATGTAGGGGGGGTACCCCTCAACACACCAACAGACACCTAAAAGCATTTTATTGTTTCTCAACTAGACAAGAACCAGGCAGTGAGTGACCAGACAGCAAAGGGACCTAGCTTGGGAGCCTGGGCCAGGACAGGAGCACACACAGCAGGGGAGCTCAGGCAAAGGTGGACCCATTCCAGCCCACATTGGCTGCGTTCATGTCGTAGTAATTGATGTAGATCCTGGCGGGAAAAAAGGAGGTGCTTAGGCCTTGAGGTGACCCCTGTGTGCCCCTCCCCACCTTGGGGACCTACCTCTCGGTCCCAAGGCCCTAGAATTCCCCTATCCCCTGGCAGCATCTTCCCCTCCCCCCATCCCCTGGGCAGTGTCTCCCCTCCCCCCAACACCTCCAGGCCCAGAGTCCTTCCCCTCTCCACCCCCACCCCGGGGCCTCCAGCTAGCTTAAAGTTTAAGCTGGAGAGAAGGCCCCGAACCAAAAGGCCAGGCTGGGGGCAAGAGTCTGCGGTCATTCCGCCCAGTACATCCCCCCCCACATCACAAAGGAGGAAACTGAGGCCTAGAGAGGGGGCACTGGGTGCCCCGGTGGAGCCTGGCCCCCTCTGCCCCTCCCCATCTCACCTGTCCCCGGGAATTTTGAGGTGCTTGGTGAGCAGGCCACAGAGCTGCTGGCTGTATGCCTTGTTCTGGGGCCCGCCCGATCTTGCCGATGCTATGAAGGCTGCAGAGGGCGCACGGGTCCGTGGAGCCCCCAAAAGCCATCAGCTGGTCGGCCGAGATGTGCACGGCGATGTACTGCGTGGGGAGGGTGGGGAGCGTTCACAGGGGGGCCTGAGGAGGAGCCGCCACCGCCCGACCCGCCCCGGGCCCCTAAACCCTGCCGGGCCCCGTCTCCGCCATCCCGGCCTCCATGGGCCCCCTCGCCGACATCCCGGCTTCCGGGCTCCCCCCCACCCACTCCCGCCATCCCGGCCCCCCCAACCTGGGCCGGCTTGCCCGTGGCCTTGGCCAGCTGCGTCGTGAGCTCGCTCAGCAGGGAGTCGGGCACCGCGGAGCGCGGCACATTGGTCTGCACCACGAACATCGGCATCTTGGCTGCGGCTCCGGCGGGCGGCGGCACGGGGAGGAGTGAGCGGGGCTGGGATAAGCCGAATGAGCCTCTGCACTTCCGCACCCACTAAGCGCCCCGACGGACCACGCGCGGAGGGGGCGGGGCGCCGCGGCCCACGTGACTCCCAGAGGCCCGCGTGGTGGCGGGGGGCCGGCCCAGGAGGTGGGGTCTTGTCTGGACTCCGGAACTCCGCCTCCGTGCGTGTCTGCCCGCTAGCAGCCGGGTGCACCAGCCCCTCCCCGCCGCCCTGCCCACCCCCTTACCCTCTAACTTTCTCTCCCCCAACCCCGCCTCTCCTGGTTCTCCTCCTCTCCCTCGGCTCTGGATCTTCTTTGTCTCCTCCTCTGGACCCTCCTCCAGACCAGGCCCTCTCGCCATGGGCATCCCCCAGGGCTCTGTTCTGGGCCCTCTGCCCTTCTCCCTCTGTCCCACTGCTGTCTCCCATGGATTGAATGACCTTCTCTATGCTGATGATTCTCAAATCTACCTGTCATGGCCTGACCTCTTTGCTGACCTCCAGACATCTCCAAGTGGACATTAGTTCAGTGGACATCTGAAACTAGACATGTTCAAAACAGAACTTGACCTTTCTCCCCCAGCCCTCCCTGCCTCCTACCTTCGCTATCACTGTCCTCCCTGGCCCCCAGGCTCCCAGTTTGGGGGTCATCCTAAAATCCTCACTATTTCTTATTCCAGATCCAATGTGGTGCCAAAGCCTGTCCATTTCACCTCTGTAGCATCTCTGGTCCATTTCACCTCTGCTGCACCTCTGGTCCATTTCATCTCTGCTGTGCATCTCTGGTCCATTTCACCTCTGCTACATCTCTGGTCCATTTCACTTCTGCAGCATCTCTAATCCATTTCATCTTTGCAATAACACTTGTCAATTACTCCCCCTCCTCTGAGGGTGGAGGGGGTGTACTGCCTGCCTCAGTCTCTTCCTGCTCCAGCCCATCCTCCATTCAGCCACCAAAGTGGTTTTTCTAAAACACAGATCTGACCATGTCATCCCCTACTCTATAATCTCCATTAGCTCCCTAGGAGGCAAATATAAAATCCTCTCCCATCCAGTGACCCCCAAAGCCTCCAACTCTCAGCATTCTCTCTGGCTGCCCCCCATGCCTGGAATGCTCTCCCTCTGCTCCAACTACTGACCTCCCTGACTATGTCCCAACTAAAATCCTACCTCCTACAGGAAGCCTTCCCTAGCCCCCAATTCCAGGGCCTTCCCTCTGTTAGTGAGTTCCTATTTATCTTATGTATAGCTTGTCTTGTATCCCCCAATAAATTATAAACTCATTCTCATCAATACAATGATCCAAGACACTCCCAAAAGACTAATGATGAAGCATACTATCCACCTCCAGAGAAAGAACTTGATACTGAATGAATACAGACTGAAGCAGGCTACTGTGCACTGTCTTTCATTCTTTTTCTTTTATTTGAGTCTTCTTACATAAAATTACTAATACAGAAATGTTTTACATAATTGTATATATAAAACCTATATCTGATTGCTTACCATCTTAGGGAAGGGAGAGGGGAGGAGGGAGGGATAGAATTTGGAACTCAAAAGTTAAAAAAAAAATGCCAAAAAATTTTAATATGTAATTGGGGGGGGTATGTTTTTTAATTATAAGCTCCATAAGCTCTTTTGCCTCTTCTTGTATCCCTAGTGCTTAGCACTGTCCCTGCTGCCTAGTAGGCGCTTGTGAGAGATGAACTCTCAGAAGTGAAGCCTCCTCAAAGGGTCAATAATTCCTGATTATTACTTTCAAAATCCTCCCCCACTCAGACCCTATTTTTAAGCACTTAACAGAAAAAAAGAAGCCCTGCCCCACCCCCAACCTGAGCCATTTGCCCTTGGCTTCCCACCTCTTTCCTTGTCTTTGAATTTCAAGCCTGGAATGTAAGCCCCACCTCCCAGTTAAGGGAGGAAGAAACTTTTGAGCTTAGAATGTAAGCCCCAGCTCCCAGTTAGAATATAAGCCCACTCCCAGTTAAGGGGGTAAGGGATAGTGGTGGGTGGAGATTTTGCGTGGTGGGCAGACATTTGCTTTTATAAGGCGGCCCCTGTTACTGGTCTCTTTCTCTCTCCACGTGTATTGAAGTAGCAGACAGCCATCTCTCGAGATTGTAATAAAGGTAACCTTTGCTTTCTACCTTGTGAAGTCTCTGAGTTTAATTTGGGTTAGGGTTGCTGTCCCACACATGCTTAATAAAGGTTTATTGAATAGAATTGAAACAGCATAAATTGGAGATCATCAGTAGAGGGAAGGGCCAGCCTCAAGGGCTTCCCATGTGTGCCCCAGGAAGATGATCACTGAGGGGTTGGGCTTCCAGGCTTCATCCAGCCCTGTTACCTAGTTTGTCTCCCAGTCAGTACCTATGAAGTAATTCCCAGGTCTCTGCCCAGCTCTCACCCCACTCTCTGAGAGCCCCTCCCCCTAGCCGCCATGGGACTCTTTGAGGGATGCCCAGAGACATCCCCCATCCTCCCGGGCACAGCCAGCTCATTACCTCTCCCCTCCGTGCCCTGCTCTTTGAACCTTCCTGTTGGCCAGCTCACTCTCAGCCCCAGCTCCTCACTCTCACCACATCTAATCATGGAAGGGCCCTGGCCCTTCCACCCTCAGCATCCGGCCCATCAGCTTTCTTTGCCGAGGCAGGCAGCCCCCCACCCCACTTCAGCACCTTATCACCTCTGGCCCAGATCATTGCAATATCACCTTATCAGTGGCCTTGACCGAGTCTCCTCACCCCTATTCCTCCTCCAGACAGCTGACAACATTATCTGGCTCAACTCTGGCATTGGGGGAGGGCTGAAAGGCCAGCATCCTTTTAATTCAGGCCTGGCCATGGGATGAGACAGATTGATGCCAAGTGCTGTTATGAGTTTTTAAGCACTGATCGATCAAAGATTTCCTTTGCTCTCACACAGCAGGGCCAGGGGCCAGGGTCCCCCTGTCCAGTATGGAGAATGTCAGGTCCTCAGGGTAGGAAGGGTGAAATCACAACTAGACCAGAGTCAATGAGAAGAATAATCAGAGCCCATTATGCACAGTTAGTGGTACAGTAACAAAATCCAAACTAGTGGAAGACCAGAGAGATCCTAAGTCACTGAGTCTCAGAAAAGAAACTTGATCTGGCTGTAAGGGAGGCACCAAAGAAAGTACCCTGGCCAGAGTGTCACAGACTTCTAGCTAACTTCTTAACAAGTGAGTGCACGCACATGTTTTGCACGACTGCATGTGTCTAATCTACATCAAATTGCTTGCCTTCTCAAGGAGGAGAAAGGGGAGGAAGGGAGAGAATTTGGAACTCAAAATTTAAAAACTGAATATCAAAAATTCATTTTACTTATAATTGGGAAAATACAAAAAGTTTCAAATACCCATGCTTTGCAAGTTATTCTCAAAAACTGAGAAAGCAGCACCCTACCAGAATCCTCTTATGAGACAAATATTTCCCTAATACCTAAATCAGGGAAAGCTAAAACACAGAAAGAAAACCCTAGGCTAATATCACCAATAAACGTTGACTCAAAAATTTAAACAAAATCCTATCAAACAGACTACAGGGATTTATCCAAGAAATCCTTCATTAGGTCAAGTAGACTTTGTAACCGAGGCTGCAAGGATGGTTCAACATTAGAAAAACAATCAACATAATCTTATTAAAATTTGAAACATCGCTTTTGTCTCCCGTCTTTGCTGGTGGCACCATGGGTCATCAGCAGCTCTACTGGAGCCACCTTCGAAAATTCAGCCAGGGGTCTCGGTTGTGCTGCATGTGTTTGAACTGGCATGGCCTGATCCGTAAGTACAGCCTGAACATGTGCTGCCAGTGCTTCCGACCGTACGCAAAGGACATCGGCTTCATCAAGTTGGACTAAGTTATATTTGTGAATCTCGCTTCAGTGATTATGCTGAGCATCAGTGACTACAATTTTACTGCACCCTGGACAGCCTAAAGATGGATCATTTTGTACATGCTATGCCCATTTGCATATATAATTTAAAAAGGTCATCCTCAGAAAAAAATAAAATAAAATAAAATTCGAAACATCCCAAACCACATGAGGCAGAAAAAGCCTCTGACAAAATATAACACTTTCATGCTAAAAACCTTACAAAATATATGCTTAGAGAGACTTTTTTAAGATCTCCTAACAAACAGCTTTCTAAAGCCAAACTCTCTCATGGCATGCAGTGGGAATATACTAGAACCTTTTCCAGTAAATGTGGAGTTGAAGCAAAGATGGTCCTCTCCCACTATTATCTGATATCATCCTTGAAAGGCTAGCAACAGCCCTGAGACAAGAGACAGAAATTAAAGGTGTAAGAGACAGGTAAAGAGGAGATAAAACCATCCCTATTGGCTGATGATATGACAGCTTAAATTCCAGGAAATCAGCAGAGGTACTAATTGAGACAATTAAGAGCTTCAGCAAAGTATCAGACTCCAAAATAGATCCTCAAAAATCAACCGCATTTCTATGTAACAATAACAAAATCCAAGAAGCAGTCATAGAAAGGGAACTCCCATTTCAAGTCACACAAAAATGCACCATTATCAGACAGCTTCATCAGTTCATACAGACATAGGAGCCCCAGAGCCAGGCTGCTCTATCACCTCCCACCTGCCCCTCCTGGGCCTGAGTGGGGGGCGTTTCTCCCCTAATGCTGTGGCTGGAGCCCCCACTAGTGCTGTCCCTCTCACTGCTGGGCGCCCTAGCTCCATCACTTAGCTTTCACAAAGCAATATTTACTTCTAAGATCCAAACATTCCTGCTTAGCTCCTGGGGGCAGTACATTCCCCCCCACCCCCTCAGTCTCTGGGGTGAGTGGGCTCAGGTTTGGCAAGGCTTCTGACAGCACTGTTGATCCCCCTAACTTCATACCAAATGTAGCATTAATGCTGGACGAGTGTTCCTCATCTCAGCCACCTCATCACATCCAGGCTGGGCTGGCTGGACCAAAGAATCCCAGAACCTCGAAGACTCGCTCTCTTGATCTTTGGACTCTCACAAGGTCAGAGACTCCAACTCCATCTAAATGGACAGAAGGAACACTGAAGTCAGCAAAGAACTGAAATCTGGCCTCCT